AGTTCAAGAAGCTATATTCCATTATTGATAATCCCCTCTTCGATTTTTCTGTTGAATTCGGAGTCCAAGCTATTTCTGGTATATTACGATATTCTGTCCAGGATATCCCCTTCGAATGAAGACCTTTCGAGCCCCCGGAAATGTGAATTACTCAAGCTATAAGCAAACTGCTATTCTGTTTTATTGGTATGCTTGTTTATTCTCAATACTCTTGCAAATCTGCTGACTGATTCTACACCTCCAGCAATCTCGATATCTTCGGTCGAATCGTACTCTGATTCGAAGTGATTCGTTTTGTTCGATATTGAGCCCTGGAGTAAAAGTGCAATGAGCAGATGAATGATGCATTTGTTCTGGTCTATAGTATACCTAGCAAAATGTACAGTGCTGTTGTACTTCATTTATCTTGTTCTCAAATCGTTGCATTTCCTGAGCAGTTCGAATTTGATTAGTGATCCAATCAGATACCCCTTTATTACAACAATTGTAAAGCCTTTCTCCTACTTCATTGTAAGTCTGTCCTTCCTTGTCTAGATATCCATTTATAGCAGACCGTTGATAATCCCGGGTTTGAATAAATTGTTGCATAGTGAGCTTATCTATTGTAAGCTTGGTAGCATCCTATTTATTGAATCGCTGATATTCGAATCTCTACATATATCGATCATATCTTCTCTGGCCCGACCACTATGTCCGGTCTCCTGTGCAAAGTCGATCATTCTATATGGGACCCCAATATGCACAATGTAAACAATCCCTGGATAGTCCCTATCAATCCCGAATACTTTAATTACAGCAATAAACCCTTTGGCTTGCAATCATTTTTCTACAACCGCATCTTTTTTCTCAATCATAGAATAATATAATGGGCAATTCAAGATCTGGCCTACTTCTTCGGTCCTATCTCGACTGCTGCAATAGAAGATACCCCGCTCTCCTTTCTCTAGACCCTGTAGTTAGGTCATTTCCTGGACAATCTTTATAGTACTCTGATTCGGACATTGTTGTATAGCATATCGAATGTTGGCATGAACTGTATTCATTCGAATGAGACGAAAGTCAGAGATGTGTATAACCTCTTGTAACTCGTTGAGTTGACTCGGGGGCAGTGTAGTTTTCAGCAAGATCATGGGGCATTGCAATACTTGAAGATGATCAAGTTGCTGAAGCTTCGGTCGATAATCATTAGCAGTAAATGAAAGATGATATTCATTAAATATAACACAATATAGTAGCTTTCGTTTTTGGAGCATCGATCTGTATATAATAAAATCAGTGGATGCAGCTTGATCAATGCTGACTATAACGATTGGAGTATAGTCTACTTCTTTATAATGTTATATGATATACTTAATATGGGTGAGCCGTAATCGTCGAATATAGTCCTTTTCGAGTGTGTTAAATAATGCAACAACAATGCTGATTCCTGGATCCCGAAGTATTATTGGGATAGTAAATATCAACATCTTCCCTTTATTAATCGGTAATATTACAATCAATAATGTTTGTTGTTCGAGTGCATCAAATATAGCTTCTTTTTGTTCCTTTAATCGGAATATAGGCTCTTCTTGGTTTAGCATTTTCTTCAAGCCTTCATAAATCTTGCTGCCAAAGTAAATTAGAACTGTATTGAATGATAGTATTCCTGTAGTTGTGATTATATCAATCCGCAATCGACTTGAAAATGCTATACTCTCTAATCCTGATAATATAAATATAGTTGCATTCGAACAAGATGGCGTGAGCAATCCTATCTGAGAAATCTTGAATATCGGTGGGATGAAAATCACAGATTATAGCTGGTCTAACAATGATCTTGATCTTTTGGGAATAAGATTGGGTGATGGTGTCCTATAAGATGATTTCCGCTAATGTTTTATAGATAATATTGATCGTTTGTTATCCAGTCCTAGAAGTTGATGCCATTGTGAATCAATAGCTCCGAAGATTCGAATGCTTTCGTTACTAAGATTTCGAATAATATCACTCTGGACTCTATACTGTTCAATAATATCCTTTTTGTAGGTGGTTGCAAGATCAACAGTACTTATAACCACATCAGTATCCTTATGTAGTATATCTTCAGTTATAGGCAGATCTCTTATGAACTCAATATCAATATATTCATAGCCTATTTCGATGGCTACATTTCGATAATCTTGTATGGTCAAGCGGATTCCTAATCGAATTGCAGTTTCCTGAATCAAGACCTTAGTCAGATGCTCGTGTGTCCACGACCCATTTTTATCATGCCAGAGATGATCATTTCGGGGAAGTCTATTTGTCTTCTGGTCGAGAGTCTCCGAGAATGGCTGAATGTAAGCCAAATAAACTGATTAGATCTGTATTATGTGTTATAGGAGAAATTGAGGAATTATTTTAGCCTCACTAAAAAGTGCCTGGGATTTGTGATACTGCGTTATATATCCTATCCGATCATTAATGATATAAATGTTCTGTTTCTGGAGTAGGCCATTATAGAATCGAATAGGGGTAATTTCCTCTCCACGAGTTGGGGGATCACCACTCTGATATCCCAAAACAAGTATAAGCTCTTTCAATTGTTTCTGTTGGTACGAGAAGGATACGGAAGACGTAGCACCCACGGATTACGTAGGTCCTGTATGTCTAATTGTATTCTGTCTAAAGAGCTAGCTACATATTGAAAGTAGTAAGTGTTGGGTTTCTTAAGACCAGAAAGAGTATCAGATTGAATTGACTTTTTTTCTCTAGCTAAGCAGTTAAGCTGCGAGCATATATTCAAAAAAATGAAGGAATAGGTTGGGTATTCGGCCTTCGGAATTAAAGTGCTTTGAAATCAAAATATTGAAAGCAAACAAACAGGATACCAAAAAGGAAAGAATGAATTAAAAGTTGAGTTTTGTTTGCTCCTTATATGCATATGTACTATATATGCATATGCTGCCAAGATCCCAGGAGGTCAACAGTAAGTCTTATATAGACTTACTAAAAGAGCTAGTCTCTTTCGCGTTCGCTTAGTTCTTTATTACAGTAGTAATTGAATTGAAGTCATTCACTTCGTTCACACAGAAAATAATGCAATCGAGAGAAAGAAGATATTGAATTATTGAGTAGGAGAATGGAAAAGCAATAATAGATGGGAAAGTGGTATAATAGAAGGCTAAAAGAGAAAGGATAATGAAGTAGTGAATGGAAGGATAGAATATCAGTAGTATAATAATATAATAAAAAGAAAAGAGGATGGGAATAGTAATAGACTCTACAATGAGTATCTGCGGATCAGGTTATTGAATTGCTGGATAATCCGTAGGTAATTCGTATACAGAAGGGATATTGAAAAATTCAAATGGATAATCTATGGGGCAGGTAACATTTGCAGACAATCTGTAATCTATGAATAATCTATCCTGCAGATTATCTATCAAGCTCATCTGCAGGGTTGATGAAGCCAAGTTAATAATCCGCGGCTTGTGGATTTAATAGGGTAAGGTAGGGTGATATAGAACAATATTGTAGCTATTGTTATGATAGTGTACTTTATATATTCAATGCAAAGAGATTTGATATAGTATTTCGAGTATCTAATCGATATCCTTATATTATCGGTAACAGAAAGTATAAAGTGGAGTATTGAAGGGGAGATATCAAAGTAATGGAAGAGAAAGTAAAAGGGAGGAATGAGGAAGGTAGGGGAATGAAATGATGTGAATAGCGATGTTGAGGCGAAGTAGGGGATGAAAAAGAAAGAGAGGAGAAAGGAAAGGGAAAATATAAGATATGGAGGATGGAATAGTATTGGGACTTGAAGGTCGAGAATAGGGGTGGAGATTGATTGATTGATTGATTAAATTAACGTCTACACTGAGTCTATGATTATCTAAGACGGCTAGGAGCTTTGTAGGCTTCTAACAATAATAAATGGAGGGTAGCTGGCCTTATTCGATTGTAGCTAATACAAGTTGGGGAGATTGAGAGCCTCAATCTTCTGATGTTTGAATGGGGGAAGTGAAAACTAATACTAGGGAACCAAGCCTGCCTTACAGATACTTTTGTATTCAAATAAGAGGAATAACAAATGAAATGTAATGAAAATTGACATTGGGGTGATTGCCCAAATTGACCAAATTGACCATAATTGATCAATTCAATCACAATCTTCCGGTCCATCCCCTTCTTCTCCGCCTTCTCCCTCTTCTTCTTCATGTATTCTATTGAGATGCTATGATCTGGTGGCTATTCTCGTCGCCTCGATAAATTCGAGGGTCTTGATGATTCCTGCTTTGGTATGAAGCAGATATTTTATGGTAGGTCGGATTGTGAGGTTATCCTTATTGAGGGTTTTCCTTGCCGTTTTATATATAGGACAATTGAGCAGAAGATGATCAGGAGATTTCTTTCCCCTACATCTACAATTGTCATTAGAGGATATATAGGGGTGAAGAAATCAGAGTGGAAAGAATGAATCAGGAAAAAGTAAATTGATACAATTGAGGCAATTGAGTAAAGTAGGGAAGAAGACAATAATAAAGTATTGGGTTTCTTGAGACCAGAAAGAGTATCAGATTGAATTGATTGATTCTCTAGCTAAGCAGTTAAGCTGCGAGTATATATTCAAAAAATGAAGGAATCAGGTTAGGTATTCAGCCTTCGGAATTAAAGTGCTTTGAAATCAAAATATTGAAAGCAAACAAACAGTATACCAAAAAGGAAAGAATGAATTAAAAGTTGAGTTTTGTTTGCTCCTTATATGCATCATGCAATATATATGCATATGCTGCCAAGATCCCAGGAGGTCAACATATAGACTCATCTGTATTCTGTATTTATACAGAGCAGTGGCCTGAGAAGCAGTACGGCTAAGCGTATCATTTAAAGACGCAAGTTATTTGGCGTGAACTTAATTCCGAGTTCTTTTTACCGGGATGATATGAATTGTATACGCTTCTAAGAAGCTCTTTTCGGCCGAGGGGAGAGCCCACACACTCAAACATAAGCATGCTTTTCGCATGGTCACGGCTAGAGGATGACGGCCTGATTTATCAGGAGAAAAATAGCCCGAGCTGACTGTTAAGCGAGGAGTATTGAAGATTAGGAGATGAGCCCCATATTGTTAAGACGATGCGAGGGAGTTGTTTGCGTGTAGAAATAGTCTCAGGACGTAGTGTAAGAATTTTTGTTGATTTTCTGGATTGGCCGCCAAGTGTAAATTGCTTGGACTCATCTAATCCATGTACTTGACATACTCCGATTATGAATAACAATACAGTATATGAGCAAGAAGAATTAAGAAATCACTTGGAGTCTTCACTGTAAATCATCTCATCATTGCTACTGTTGTTTTCCTTTTACTATCAAAAATATAAAGACGAGTAGTCTCTAGCCTCAAGGAGCAGATCCATGGCCTGGCAAAATTACACCCGAGAATCTATTTCAAATAAGGAAAACAACTGCGCAGGAAATATAAACTGTAAAATTTGAATATACGGATATTCTTTATGAGTCTGAGTGTTATTCCGCTGCCGTGATGTCTGCCGAATGCTTCGCAGAAGAGTGAATCTTGCTAAAAGCATCCCCCTCGTTCGAGAGTTCCTCTGCCGCCATGATACCGCTCTTGTACATTCGTAGAGCAAAGTGCCAAAAGCGTCCCTCCATCCCTAATTCACCCATACCTCCGTTGGCCTCAATAAGACTCTACCACAACCTTTATACATTCTCGATTACTCCCCTTAACCACCTATAAACTTCCAATCCGGTATACCCGCAGATTGTACGCATTATTGGGTCGTGAAAATTCTGCACACTAGCGCCCCAGAGGTGCCCTGTCAATCACCGGCACAACGCTTTCCTTCTCAGGCTCTGCTCCCACACAGATTCGTAGAGGCAATCCGCTTTGAAATGCTCCTTAAAGCAATTCTCAGGCTCTGCATCCCATTGCAGATTCGTAAAGGTGGTTCCGCTTCGAAATCCGTCGTTGTTTCGTTGATTGTCGGGTAGTTTTCATCTCCGTTCGACTGATAGTCCTCTGTTCCGGGCCAAATTCACGATACCTTCACTCCCAGTACCGCTCCTTTTTAAAGCACGACCTTTGCCCAGCTTCAGCCTGATTCAATCTTGGCTCTGTAAGAAAAATTACAGGTTCGTAGGATGCACCACGTACAGGTGTTGAATCATCGCATCCCACGCTAGCGATTCACTGGTATCGCAACACTATGTTTACTATACCACGTACCTTCACCATGTACATGTTCTGACCATAGCTTTCTGAGTTCATTGTAATGCTTCATTCATCTTGAGAAAAACTCAGAGAGTTTGTTCACTACTTCTCCTTCGTGTTTTGACATTTGTGGTTAGATTTATGTAGATCTCCTACCATTTTTTCAACCACCTTCAATACCATCAAACCATCAAAACTTTACTACATGCCACTAATTTCCAGCCCGTATATAAATTGACGCTCAATGAAACCACGGCGACCCTTCTCACCATACAAGCATCTTATCATTTCCACTTTCCACTACTACCCATCCCTCACCTGGTATCAAAGTCTTTGGATTGTCTCACTGAGATGTTTATGCATTCTTTCTTGTCTTACCGAAGAACCCGGTAGCAAAAGCTCATCCCGGCCTTCTTGATTAGAACGTCGCATCCTTCACATGAGACTGAGGCCGATACTTCTCTGCTTCAATAGCTCATACTTGGAACTTTGCTGTGGGTATGTGATTTTCCCACTTAATGCTAGCATCAAAGTCAGTAAATGACGATTTAAAAGATAGCCGCTGGTGAGGCTATGTAGAAAGCAAAGTACCCAATTGCAGTTCGTATTTCTATGCTCTGAACATATCCTCTGTCAAAATATGTAAAATAGTGATTAATACATGACTTCTCATCAAATGCCAGGAGATTCAGGATGAGGTCCATTGGGATAATGGGAGTTTTAGTAAATCGACCCCCATACACCACATCCCAGTAATTTTGGTTGAATTTCTTGAGAAGACCTGCTCTTTCGTGCCAATAACTGTATGAAATGAAGCAAGGTCTTTGATGCAAGAATTTGATTCATTTTTACCTCGTCGGATGTTCAAAACGACCCTTAAAGCTGTGAATGTACTAGTGAAATTTCATATGCTGCTTTGTGAATGGTCATAGAAAGTTATTCTATAGGCCCAACAAGGTGCTCCAGGTGATGCTACAAGCTGAATGGGACATAGTAGTTCAGATTTATGCTCAAACAAAATACTCCAGTTCCAATAACACTTGCTGAAAATCCCCGATTAGTCAAATCTCCAGCATCAAACAGCTATTTAACAGACAGTCCACGATCTCTCTAATTCCTTTCCAAATCTCAATACAAAACATCTAAAACATAAACTCAGCCCCGACCCCGACACTAAACACAAACAATTTCGGGTCTAGAGACCTAACTCAAATCTCAAAAAAAAACACAAAAACTTCAGACATCAAGTATCATGGGGGTAACTAACATCTGGTACTGCCTATCGTGCAAGACCTCTCAATACGGATCTGTTTCTGCTGTCCGCCCATGCAAATATTGCAATTTCATGATGAGCCTTTGGCATGAACCTGGATCTATTCCCGCTGTGCCAGTATATGTTGGTGCTGCAACCAGTATTACCCAGAATATCGCTCCTCTTGAGCAGGCAGTGGATAATGAAAAAGAAAATGGCAAATCCGCTATGGGCTGGTGGGGTTCTCGTCGTTAAGAAATTTTATGGCTTATTAGCATTAGGGTGGCAGTTGTGAGCGATAGGATAGGATTATGGTTAATGGAGGATAGCACATGGCAGTGGTGGAGGTTAATAGGGCTCGGTAGTTAGTTGATAAGTGGATTCGGGATTTGTTCTTCAATACAAGGCTTCAGACACATAAGGAACCAAGTGGATTACTGGTGAGGTTTGAATGAAATATACTAGTCAATACTTGCTCATATATTGCGATGCTTATCAAATCATTCAAATGAAGTTACACAATGTGAATAGAGTTATGACTCTCTAAAGTGCGTTTTATGTATGTGTGCACCCACGAATTGTGCAGAGAGGGGTTAGCGAAAATTGTGGATCTGCTCCCGGCACTGCATGATAGATGGACCTTGGACCTTTGGATTGTACCGTGTGTAAAAAGAATTAGAGTTATAAAGAAATTCTTTTCCTTTATGGACGGATTCCACATGCAATTTAAATCATGCCTCCACTTTAGCTTATGCTTTTACTCCCACTTTACTTGCATTATTCCATAATTCATCCATCTCTCAGGGTCTCTCCAATACATCTCTTGCCAATTTTCCTCGTTCCAACACCGCTCTAACCAGACACTATGTCATGCATTAAGTTTCCACCTGGGCGTTTTTGTTCGTTTCTCTGATGCCCTTTCTCTGATGCATCTGAATTGATACCCTATATTCGACTTATACACATCATCGTGTAAACTAAATTGGATAATAATACATTTGTTTCTCCAAAATTGGCTAACCCTCGACTCAAAAACAAATGTGAGCTGTAACCTATTGACAATCCCGCAATGAATCAACAGCAAACTTACAATATACCAATGCCAATCCGATATTCCTATTCAAAAATAAAATGACCAGCCATGGCGCAGACACTTTCATGTTCGCCTATCATCAGGGATATGATTTTTGGGCTGTTGTGACTATATGTGTATCAACTTGCTCCTTATATTCATCCTAATGAGCACAAAGAGTATTAACCTGGCCCTCAGGGAACTCGTAATATTTCCAACGACAAGCTTGCAAAAGCTTTACATGCAATAACAAACTTTCATATATACTCTATCTTTGGCAACCCCAAATTATACCCCTCATTTACCCAGATTACCCCGCTTCTCAGACCCCACCGAAGTCCTTCCCTTTGTCACTGATGGTTTTCTTTCCCTTTTTTAAAACCATATCCCACCAACTCGCACTTCTCGTTAAACTAGGTCTCGGACCTGTCTTGGCTGTAATCGTATCAATTGACGATATTGATGTATATTTCGCTCTAGGTGGAGGTGTATGCGAATTCATGGGCATTGTGACTGAATGCTCTGGAATGGAATTCATACCAGAAGGTGTGGTTGACGGCGCAAACGGTGACTTTGGTGGGGAATCATGACCAAGGTTTGAAGTAAGTTCCTTACGAGCTGCAAGAGATTGTGCTGTAGTGATTGAGTATGTATATGGTAGAGGTTTGTCTTTATCATTGGCAATTGTTACGGCGCTCGCACTGCTAACTGGATTGGGTTGAGTGGGGTCTTTAAAGTTGTTAGCGTCAGTGGTAAGCTCGTTACTACTCATTCGGGATATACATACCTCCCATCAGTGATGAATTTTGCTTTGTTGCTGAAGATGAAGACGATGAGTGAATGCCTTGTTGTCCAAACCATCCCAAAAATCTATACCATCTTACTCTCCAGAACTGCATCCCACTAGTTGTGTTTAGTGCTCCAACTAAGAAGAAAAATGGAACGCAAACAGTTACCATCGTTATTCCAAATGGAGTGAAATTCTGAACAGTGCTCATATTTGTCATACCATAGACAGACGTTACAAATGTAAGTGGAAGGAAGAATATTGAAACCATAGTCAATAGTTTAATATTGTGACCTTGTAATATTGTCACTGCGGCCATCTCCACACTTTTCCTACTTTCCAAAACACTTGTACCCGAGAAGAGTTGATCCCTCAATGTTCTAATCTCCTTCATCTTCTCATCCGTTTCTTCGTAAAGTTTGAAGAGATTAGCCATCTGCTTATCGAAATCTAGCTTTAGTTTCTGCATACGTTTTTGCCAGTATTTATTCCGGTGAGAGTCCGGATCTAACATCGGCCATAGTGTTTTGTGTTTTCCTTCCCAAACATCTTCGGTAAAAGTATCTTCGTAGCTATCCATTATGGTTTTTAGTCCGTTCTTTAATAGACCAAGTGTTTGATAGGCCCAGAAATAACGGCGGGAGTAGGTAAATTCCTCATCTTCGAAAAGTAACTTATCTCTAAGTTCACCATCAAACATAAAATCGGCCTGTAGGTTTGATCAGTATAAGTTGATATTTTTCGAAATCTAAATCCTAACTTACTGGTGGTGACACAAGCTTGCTAATTTTCATATATATTGCCTCGAATCTCTTTTCGGCATCTTTGAATTCTGACAGAAGAGTATGAAGGAATGCTTCTGGTCCATTGACATAATGTTTCGTTGAATCATGAACATCCATAGTATGGCGATGGTCGGGATAACATTGTATGTTGAGAACATGCCATGCTGCCCATGGATCATAGACATACCCATAGTCTGTCCTAGCACGCCTAGCGGGATTTCTCAATTTTCGGATTGGTTCACCAGATAAGGAGAGAGCCACGACTGAATTGCATCTCGATATTGGAATATGGTCCTTTGAAGTACTCGGTCTTTTATCAGCTAGTTGCCACGGCATTGGTTGACACTCTTCCCCCACGATTGTCCAGTATTCAAAGTTGAAAACAAAAGACTTTTGTTGCCGGCTGTCAACGGAGAATGGACGTCGCATTATATTGGCCTAGCATGTAAGCAGGAGAAGAAAACTGGTTGTTTAAACACATACAGATGTACCTTCGCCAGAGACTAGATAATTGAATAATTCATCCATGTCGAAAGTTTTATTCAATGTGAGATGCAGGGCGCCGAATATGACAGGAGATGGCTCTCGAACGATTCTTTGCGGGTGTCAGTCAGTTACAATGATATCCGGCTTGGGAAGCGGCACCAAGACTCACGTTATCCTACCAACAGCTGGCCGAAGTGATTCGGGATCGTTATTCAAATCCTACGCTCAATATCTTAGCTGCTGAGAACCTTCAAGTTGGTACATTGGCTCACCTTAATCGCTTGCCATATAGCGGAATCAATCTTAGTGGTACCAGGTTTGACTACATCTTTTCTCGATAAAGGAGCTCCGTCTTTTCCGACATCAAACACAGAATAGTGGGAGTTATGAAATCGATCGGCTCTATGATAATCCGGGAACAGAACAGGGTCTAGAAGTCTTCCATTCTTCGTAATCACAGTTTCTAGAATGGTGTGTCCAGCATCCGTGAAGTTGTAAGATCTGAAATGCTTTCGTAACTGTTCCTCACCATATTGAAATGAGTTGAGCGGTGTCTGAACATATAATTCGTCATCGTCATCACTATCGTCACTATCTCCTGACAAGACAGAGCTGTGAAGTGTTGATGGTCGTATTTCTGGTATGTCACCATCGTCCTTGGTAGATCTTCTTCGTCGTTTCGTAAAAGTGCGAATGGAACTGGGACCCGGTGTTGCTGCAATGACAGTACTCGCACTGATAACATTATTATTCAAGGCTTCATGGACAAGCCTAAATGTCTCAAGGTAAGCTTGATGTTGGTCATCAAGTCGCTTCAGTAATTCCTCAGTGCTAATGTTCGACATTTCTGGAGGACAGTTGGATGTGATTGTGTAAGAGAATATGTGAAAAGAAAGAGAAACGGCTGGACCGACAAATTTCGAGATCCAGCCCTTGCCAATACCATCGAATGCTTAGCTGCGCCTCAATAGAGCCGCGAACCTTTTCATCTTCAAACGGGCTGTTTCAGAGCCCGCTAACACCTCATTGGATTAGAAGCATGAGCTGGCATTTTTCCGTATGCATCTCTGGATACTATTTTTGCCTATCAAGCAACGGCAACCTCTAACTTCAAAAGTGGCGGTGAATTTCTTATCGATATAACAAGGGTTCTGAAGATCAAAAGTAATTGGGTATTGCCAACGCAGAATTTCTGCAGAATTGCTGGGATATGTGCACGTGGCCGCCCGAAAAATTATATTCTTCGGTAATACTTCGGTTGGATCGACTCGGTTGTTTTTTCAGATGATGTTGAAGGGATGAGAATAAGATGTGCCATCTTTCTTTTACTACTCAATCTCCAATGCGGAAGTCATCTTTGACATATGTTATATACTCCCTCGCTTTGACACAGACAAATGTGCATGCGATTGTGGTATACTGTGTTTTCGCCCTCGAAAGGAACCTGATGACTCTAGTTGTAAAGCAATTATCTCTGATATGGTCACCAAAATAGTCGCTGTGATGCCCAAGGTCATGACTTTGTGGGAACAAGAGCAAGTGTTATCAAAGTTCCTCGGTCCTGGCTCTAAAATCCTCCTCGATGGAGTTTCGCAAAACATAAAAATGGTCAACAAGAATCAAAAGACTAGATATCCTTATTGAGATGAGGCGATTAGTGTAAATCATTGGCGAAACTCTCGAGAGTTCATCCAGGTGCTGTAGCTGGATGTCATCATTATGTGCGGGTGAATGGAGGAGACACCTTAGCGAGTGTAATGGCTGGAAACAAATAGTGGAACTCGTTTGGCTTGCCATCGCTTGGTTTCCTAGTCCCTGTATCACATCTTGGTGCCTTTCATAAGTCTGGCAGATGCTTGAAAAAAAACTTTCCAAGGTCGTCTGCTCAATTGGTTCACCCAGTTGCGGTTTCCATGTATCGAGTGCGAGATGTTTCATGTTCATTCTTTCTTCCTGCATGAGTGATAGACGGCAATTCATCGTCCTGAAACAAAATGCCGTAAATATTCTCCTGAATTACCAGATCCGGGAGACTGCAATTGAGCCTATTGGACTGATAACCTTTCAGCTCCATGATCTTCAATACTTGATTCATTGGTCCTATGCAGTAAATACATCGGCGCTGCAAATTTTGGTAAGTTTGGCAAGATGGTTTGGACCCTCCACACTTTATCTGTCAAACGTTTTAGTGTGCCAAAGTTACTTCCGAAAGATAATAAACACAAACTTGCGCCTTTTACACCACTCGTATGTTACCAACGCTTGCACAAATGGATCCTAGTCTCAGAAGTAGCTATAAACAAACGCATTACTAGGTGCTATCTTCGAAATCTCTCAAACGAAACCCTGAGTAGCCAGACTATAAGAGACTGATAGCCACTACGTCTTGCTGCACAAATTTTATTTTTTTCAATGAAGACCTTCAATGATTGCTCAATAGACCGAGTGATTGAGGATACCAAATTACTCACATTCTTCCCGTCGCAGAGCTGTGTGTAAGCCTCATTTTCACCGGGTTGCTGACCTTGCGGCACATACTTCTTGTATCCAATGTGGGGTGGGATGGCAGTCCGAAAGTTCACGGAACGTGTTTTGTCCGAGCGAACGAATAGCAGAACTAAACTCAGTGACTGCATTCTCTGCTTCGGTGACATTGATTACATTGTCCTGCCTTCTTGCGGCATGTGAGTCACTTCAGCCTTCCGCCGAAATAGGGCTCATCATTTCTGTGTCACTGCTTGCGCATTTCCCGCAGCTGATTCCTTGCCGCCCTGAGCCCTTACGCCAATGATGACAATTGTGTGTGTGATTTCGGACCAAGGTTGAAAGGCTTCATCTTCTCTGAAAGAACGCTTGCAAGCGATTCAGCTCTACGTAGCCTTGCCTCGTTTGGAGCAAGTATGGCAAGGATCCTTTTCAGTACACTAGCGACTTTCAGGAATTTTGCAGTTGAGAAGACACAAAACAATGAACATGGAGCTAACTTTTCCACCCACGATTTTGCATCTCCAACATGCACATCCAATCTTTCTGATAGCTTTCATGCCCATGCGTACCAGAGAGGTTACAGGTCCAGTGCGACCAGATCCTTCAAAAGAGGCATGTCTGGAAGAGGAGTCTCGTGTGGGATCATAGGTATTTCCTGTTGAGGGGTTATATCTGCTGATGCGTAAGTTTCTGAAGCTTTTCGTAACTTGATTTAGCCCATGCTCGCTCTGGAAACTTGACAAACACCCCCGTTTACACTCCACTGGTAAGACTTTGAATTTCTTGCGATGACCTATCTCAGAGTGAACATATTCATTTCAGAACGAGGCCACATAGTAGCTGGATGTTGTGGGCGTTACCTCCTTCACCTAAGGATGTATCTGCGGCCAAGAGTACTCCTGAAAATTGATGCTGCGGTTCTGCGCTGGATTAGTCCAATGTGATCTATTTTGTATTGAAATAGTTCCAGAGCCGGCAATTCCATTGTATCCAAGCTATGCCGTCGGACTTTCAATCATAGGCTCAAAAAATATTAGCAGCAGTGTAGCGGGAAGACTGTCGCACAACCTTGTTGATATTCATATTCCATATTCCAACTAGGGGCGAGGGATTGACCCGTAATTTGCTGTGAACGACCAATATCGCCGGATTCCTTACCTGGTGAAATCATTCTGAAACCCTATGACCTTCCTATAAAACTCAAGGTTGCACGGCTCATTCATGTCTTCAGTCATCAGCATATGAATGTTAACCATTGAAGACATACGACTATAAATATAGAGGCGCTTACCAGGCATTTAAATATCACATGGGGAATCTCCAATGAATTGAGTTCGAACGAAGAAATAATGGACGAGGATCGAAGGGGAACGCAGGAGGAGACTTCACTCCTTAAGCTGCTTCTGTTAATTCAACCGAAACTGGCAGGGCTAGCCGCTGCTCGAGTCTAATGATGAATCAGACAGGCCGCTTCTTGAAACCCGATTTGAAGGCAATGGGTCGCCTGAAAACGCTCGTAGCTTACAACGCCACGATGGAAATACAAGTCAAATTTCGAGAATTTGGATGTTTCACACGAAGCTGTAGGGCATAAGCTGTAATAGGGGAAGCACAAAACGCACTGCATCAGAAAACGAAAAATTCGAATAAAATTACGAATTGATCATGAACATAACGCAATGGAGTTCGTCCTAATGTGCTTGAAACTTGCGACTCCTTATGAAGTGAGGAATGGCGTTCTTATTTCAGCCTCGAAGAGTGTTGTACCTTTGGTTCATGCTAACCACATCGGGCTGCATGAAAGCGCATTTCATTGGCCCACAAAACGACGCCCCGATATTTGCTGACGGACAGGGACTTGGCTCAAATAAACAGGATCGCTAAAGCACACTGTTGCTTGTATCAGTAAATCTAAACAATAAAGTGTGACTAAAATGATGTGCGATATGTTTCGGTGCATTTGAAATCGAGGAAAATCGTGTACCTATGAGTCTCAATGGCCATTCATCATCATGATTGTGGGGTGGAAACGCTGTTGGCACTGATTTCCGGTTTCTTACCGCAGAGTGTAAGATGTGATGACCTCCACTTGAGGATCATCATAATCGAGGTCAATTATACCTTAGGTACTATGAAATGCGCTCTAGCATACCTATTATTTCCTCTTAGCATAGTTGCTAGAGGGTTATACATGGGCAAGCTAATATCTTAGCCGTGCAACACATCTGTCGTTTCAAAGCTCGCGAAATTCTTTGATGGCCATTGTCCCTCAATGCACACTTTTGTTACTCCCTCTTTCCAAGCCTTTGGCGCAAATTCCATATGGGAAAGCACTCTGGATTCAGGGCAGATAAAATTCTTCCCACTCACTTTTTCATTCATCTGCAGAGAGAACATCCTTGAGGAGATAAGTCCCCAGTCTTGACCATGATCTATGGTCACGTACTCCACCCACACTGTGTGACATCGTTAACAACACGCCTTCGCTTGACCGTAGCTTTTTCTCCAGCGACTCACCCATCTATCCCTTCCCATTTGTGCATAGCTTTCCACCATTCACCTGAGAAATGCCCTTCGGATCATCAGACATCTAAGCACGTTGATGCAACGAGATTATTTTCCGAGACTTTCGACAAAAATAACCATGTCAAACCGAGGGGCGTAAAATCTCCAAAGGATTCCAAAAATCGCGCTGCTAGTTAATTGTATCTGGTACAACTTGCGAGCTCTTCGCCTTCATGGTCGCTGGACACCTGTGTCATAAGTAACTCTGAAAAGATCAATATCAGGTTTGGGAGCAGAAATCTGAATATGGGTTTTTGAACGTAATTTGTGGCAGGATTTTGGAGGAATTGAGATTATTTTCGATATTTCGAGGCGGAAATAGAATTCCGAGCGGGGTTTGAGATGGGCATAGGATGACAGGATATCAACTCACCTCATGGATAAATCTGATAGTCTGCGTAAATGGACATGGTAATGTTCCTTGAATGCTTCAAAGACTACTCTCAATTCCTGCTAAGATATAAAAAGGGATACAATGAATTCAAACTCGAATATACAGAAAACCATAATGGATTGAGATGCTCGTGATATCAGAAGCCACTGCAGAGTCGGACTCGGATATAGAGAAACTATTTGAAAGCTTTCAACAAAGCAAAGAAATGTACAAGAAGCAGTCATACACATATTTGCATCTTTTCTTGTTCCACGCCGTCCCACGCAACAAAAGCAAACAAACAAACTTTCGTCCCACCTAACTTTCTACCTACAGACCAAACCATCAAGCAAACAAGGTAATTCCATCTAAATCTCTTCCGTATTAACAAGCGTCTCTATTCTATATAATCATAGAGCCCCAAAATGATATCTCAATCCCATTCCCCATCCATAACTCCAAAAAGAATAAAACCGTTCAAAAATACCGAACTCAGGAAGACACTGGGGGTTGAACCCAGGACCATCTGGACTCTAGATTATACAAGCTGGAATCAGATACGCTAGCCACTGCGCCATGCCTTCGATTATATGTTATTTTATTTTATTTTATCTATAGTATGATGTTGTTATATACTGTCTTGGCTGAAGGTGATTATGAAATGGCAAGGTAGTGTGAGGTGAGATTGAGCATGACTTTGAATAGGGGGTGATATAACTACTGGGTACCCTTTCAATACCTGCTTGAGGTAATTCTAATTGTGCTGGATTGACCTGATCTATATGGTATACCCCCAAGGCTTTCAATTGGGGTTTGTTTTGTTGTTGAAATCACATTATGAGTTGAAACAGTAGTCTTGCTTGGCACTGGCAATGCCTCTCTTCCTCCCTTCTACAATTGATGTTTCGCAAGCATGGTATGATAATCGACTAGACACAACAGTAAACAGAGACCGAGACGGAGTAGATGCACAGGTATTAGAATATGTAACGCTTTCTAGATTGATACTTAACAAGCAATACAAAAGGGAAATGAATAACGCCACGCCAAGGCTTGTATATGCCTGGATATGTATTCTAGAAGCCTTCATCACCAAACCCAGAAGACTAAGTCTGATCCTATGGAAAACCCCTTATTTCTTTCCCTTCTTTCCTTTAGCTGCAGGTCCCATAGCGGCTTCTCTTCTCCTCTGTTCCCGCGCCAATTGCTCCGACTTTGCTTGCTCCTGCTCCTTACGTTCTTCTTCCTCGGCCTACGTGACGTTAGTTTAATTTCAAACAAGAACAGACATAAATAATACGTACGGCCTTGCGTTCCGCTGCCAAGCGTCTCTCCTCTCTGACCTTTGCCAATCTTGCAAGATCAGCTTGAGCTTCATCAGTCTTTCCTGCAAGATGTAATCTTTGGTATGCTTCTTTTTTCTTTTGTGCTTCAATTGCTTCTCTTTCTTTGCGACTCAACTCTTGTGGCTTCTTGCTGACGCTCATCTTTGCAACATCTCCTGCAACTTCATCGACAGTCTTTGGTGGGGCCTTGGCTTGGTTTCTAGCAGCCTTGCTATGGTTGGGGTTGACAGGCATATCGTCATCCTCACTCTCCTCTTCGCTATCGGTAGGGAGATCTCCAACTTGTGCGACCTTCTGGTTCTTCTTCTTGATAGCAGCTTCCTTCTTCGCCTTGGCAGCAGCGCGACGTTGTTCACGGGTCATCTCTGGCTTCTCTTCTTCCTCTTCTTCGGAGGATTCCTCTTCTGAGTCCTCTTCTTCTTCTGAGGATGATTCATCGGCATTCTTTTCGCGGATTTCGTTTCCATTGGCATCGAGAGGTCTAAGATCACGAGAGAAGTGTTTACCACCTGTTGAAGAGTTCAAATTAGCATCTTTACAAATGTAATCTTGTGACAAGAGTATTCTTACCCCCACGAGTGAACTTCTTAAACTTTCCACCTCTGCCACGTCCGGCTGCTGGTCCTCCTGGTGCCATGTTGTTTGAATTGTATCGAGATAACCAAAAAGATTGATTATTTTTGATTTGATGGTGTTTGCTTTGGAATTTGTTGTGATATTAAGGACGATGTGTAGAAAAAGGATGGTGCCTGATTATACTTTGAACCTTTAATCCATTCAGAAGATGTCAATTTGAATTTAGTGCGGGGCACATTTAATCCTACTACAGAGTAATATCAGTACAACCCCGCCGTCTCTTAGCTCAGCGTACTCGAGTAGCGTAAGTGTAGATTTCAACCAATTAGAATACGCAGAAGATAAATCATTATTAATAATGGCTTTACTGACCGATTACCATTACCCACTTAGACTTAACCTGATCGAAAAGTCCATCAGTCTACCCTTACTAAGCTAAGATCATACTAGCTCAACATCACAGTCGCTTAGATCACATGATTGATAAAAATTTCGAGTACAAGACAATTTCAATCTCCATCCTCTGTTCCTCTTCTTCTTTTTCTCTTCATAAAACTAAAACTGATTCCTCAATATTCACTCTGGTCTTTTGTCTTTCAATGGCGGGATCTTGGAGGGGAAATTGCAGGATAGAAGAGAATCTTTTCGTTTACTTACCCTCCATCCTGTGGCATGAGAATGCGTTGGGTCATGGAGAAATATAAAAAACGGGACATTTACAACTACTCTGCTTACTTTTCTTTATCCTTCCCGAAACCAATGGCATTAATATTGGATTGGCGACTGATTGTGCGATTTTGCCTGTGGGGGTTAGCTTATGCTTTTATGGTTGTGTTGCGGTCCGCTTGCTTTCAGCCACACCAAAACGGACAAAGGATGCTCGCAGCAGATTTTTCCGAAATTTCCAACCATGGGTGCCAGATCCAGTTCCATAACTGCGATGGGAGCCCTTTGTTCAAGTGAGGTAAAGAAGGTAAAATTGAACTGTCGTGAAGATACAAATCAATCTTTTAATCGTGACTACTTGCTATACATTTCAATTATCCTTGGATCACACTCACCTATAGTCACTGTCGAGTCTACTTCCGAGAGCTCACCTACAGAACAATATGTCTGCATGTCCCGCCTGCGACCATCCTCTCATAATGCCTCCTGCATTCGCATACATAGCTCTCAAATTCCCTCGCATCAGACCCTCCCTCAATTGTGATCTCAAATTACCTCGTTGCAAAGATTGCGATCAAGCAGCAGTAGAGAAACGAGCCGCGGATTCAATCCTTCCACCACCATACTATATCAATCCTGTTGCGCAAATCAAAAAACAAATCGACTTAACACAAGAGTTGATCAAGGCAGGAGTGCGGCGAGAAGAATTGGAGATGGAGCTTCCTGCTCTGATGAAAGAAGGTATGTTGAGGTTACAGAAAAGGGATGCCAATATACGGGGTGCATGGCAAGGGTACTGGGAGATTTGGGGGTGGGAACAAGGACAACCTCGACCATGAGGAAACGTGAGCAAGAGATGATGAACATGGTGGTCTACATACGTCTTGCATGTCCGTGGCTATTTTCTAAATACCTGTGAGCCGCTCAATGTTTACTAGTCTGTTCTTTAATTGGTGGCTTGGACTATACCGACCTACGAAGCCAACGTTTGTACAGTAGTTAGCAACCTTATGTCACATCTTGATTTCATAGCCCATGCACCCACACTGGGTAAGGGGTAATCTAAAAATTTACCCCAGATCTGTAATCATGTTGGAAGATATAATAATAATTGATTGTGATGTTGATTTCTTCTGCATGTGTAACGAACCACTGAATATCTATTTTATTATTCATAGCCAAGAAATACCACGTAGGTTCCTTCAGATGACGCAAATAAAACAGTTTCAAGGTTCAAAGTATTCCACCAACATTGATCCTCCTGGTTAACCAACATCAACACCAAAACATAATACCAACAAGATTAGCATTTCCACCATCTATCTGTCAGAAGAAAATGGCAGGCTTTTTACGTGGAAAACAAGCTGGTATACAAAATGATCTATCTGCCGGTATCTTGCCAGGCTTGTTTGCGCCGGATGATTTGGATCGTTTTGGGATCAATTCGCAAATAGGGTATGTTAACTCTGCTACTCTGCTACTGTGTAACCAATTAAGGGATTCGAGGTCAGCTAACTTCCACACTTCTTAGTTCTCTCGCATATGATCCAGTACAATCTTTACTTGCTGTCGGAACGAACGAGACAACCTTTGGAAGCGGACAAATTTACATCTTTGGTCAGAAGAGAGTACAAGCAAAGCTTACATTACCCCGTCGAGCATCAGCTAAAACTCTACAATTTTGCGCCGACAGACTTATTAGTTTGGATTCGAAGAACGAAGTTATAGTATGGGATTTAGCAACAGCAAAGAAGTTGGCAGCTTACTCCCCGCCAGGAATTGTGACTACCCTTGTGACGGATCCTATGCTAGATTGGTGTTTGATTGGATTACAAACGGGAGATATTATATGCTACGACTTGGATAGGGAGAAGCTTGCGCCTTTACGACTTCCGAATTTCTGGCGCGAAAAGAATCCAAGATCGAGGTTGTTGAGCTGTGTATCTTTACAATTACATCCTAGAGATATTGGGCAGTTATTGATAGGATATACCGAGGGAGCTGTGATATACTCATTTAAACAGAACAAACCCGTCAAATACTTCCAATACGAAGTTCCAGCCGGAGCTCCTGGTGGGAATGGAGATCCTTTGGGAAAGAATGCATCTAGACAACCACGCCTTACACAAGCTCTATGGCATCCCACTGGAACTTTCATTGCTACAGCGCATGATGATGCAAGCATTGTATTTTGGGATCCAAAAGACGGAAGAATTGTGATGGCTCGGACTCTACAAGATACACATGTGAACGTACCTGGATCTCAGCCGCAAGGTTCTGGCACCTCGCTCGGTACGTTCTCCCTCAAGGAAGACTTTGCAAAAATAGCTTGGTGCTGCAAAGAAAACCCGGATGATACTGGTCTCCTTGTGGCTGGAGGGGTCCCAACCACGACACCTACCAAAGGTATGACATTTATGGAGTTGGGTGTAACTCCTGTTTATGCGACGTCAACTTGGCAAGTCTTGACTGATCACTTTAATGCAAAACGTCAACATTTCCTTCCAACTCCTACCGGGGCAGACATTGCAGATTTTTGTCTCATTCCTCGTGCTTCTCCACATTTTGCCGGAGCTCAAGACCCTATTGCCATTATTGCACTTCTCACATCGGGTGAATTAGTCACATTAAGCTTCCCTAGTGGTCATCCTGTCTCTCCTACAAACCAACTTCATCCCTCCCTTTCCTTTGTCCATCCGTTTGTCAATTTCATGGCAGTATCTGCCGTTGATAGAGGTCGATGGCTTGGCATGACAGAAACTCGTGCTATGGGTCCACCGATTCTGAAAGGGGGTGCAGAAGGAGTGAAACACCTACGGAGATATGAAGCACGGAATATCATTCAGACGGCTCACGGAGATGGCACAATCAGAATTTGGGACGCTGGCCATGGAGATGAATTGGAAAACTCTACTTCACTACAAGTCGATATCGCCAGAGCAGTCGCACGTTTCGAAGATGTCAATATCTCTACAATTAATATGGCTTCAGCTACTGGAGAGTTATGCGTTGGCACGACTGCTGGTGAAGTGGTAGTTTATAGATGGGGCGGCAACAGAGCTTACGGTAGCGAGCAGCCTCCAAATGAGACTCAACGTGGTGGTATCACAGATATCTCTATTCGTGCTGAGCCATCTCTCAAAGAAGGTCTACAACCATTCATTCTCTATGATATCCCGCAGGGATCCATAAGTGCGACACGAATGTCAGATGTTGGATTCGTAGGAGTGGGATCTGAAGGTGGACTTTTCTCAATCATAGATCTCCGAGGACCATCTGTCATTTTCAGCGCCGCAATGAGTGACTTCATCAAGCAAGATAAAAGAAGTAGTTTCATGAGAAAGGGAAGTAGCCAAACATCTGCCAGATCTGAGTGGCCTGTGTGTATTGAATTTGGCGTTATGACGCTAGATGATGATAAATACTCTAGCATTGCTTGTTTCGTAGGAACAAACAATGGTAAAGTCACCACATTCAAAATTCTACCACAGCAGAATGGTGGATATACAGCTCAATTTGCAGGAGTGACAGCTTGTTCCGACAAGGTAATTTCAATTACGCCAATTGTGGCTGAAACTGGAAAACCTGCATCGGCAACTGGGCCTACAGTAGCTGCGCTTCGCAGTGGACAGCAAACTAATGGTGCCCTTGTAGTTGGTAAGATAACCCTGACTGTGTGCTGCTACTAACCTTCTTTCGTATGGGAGGAGGTCAGAAGCTTGCCATACCTATCGTCATTCCTTCATTTGCTAAATCCTTGATTCAACATTCCACATCATGGTACTAATAGTTTTACAGTGACCCAAACTGAAGCCCGTATCTTCAAACCTTCCAGCGCCAAAGGTGCTCATAAAACCTTCGACGATGTTTTTTGTGATTCCGCTGCTGTCACGGAATTCGAACCTCATGGTTTCGCACTCGTTGGCGTTTTTGGTGATGGTACAACCCGCGCTTACTCCCTACCAGCATTGAAAGAAATCGGCATGTCCAAGCTTGACATGCTGGACAAGACTCGTTCTTCAAACAGTGTCGTGACGCCTTCTGGGGATATTCTAGGTTGGACAGGCCCAAGTGAGATTGCAATGGTTAATGTATGGGGAACCGGACTACCACTCGGCAGAAGCCAGGATAAGTTATTCAATCCCGAAGCATTAATTCCTCCGCGTCCCACCATATCAAATCTTCAATGGATATCAGGAACTCAATACGTCTCACCAACCGATCTGGATCTCCTAATTGGTGGTCCCGATCGTCCACCTAGTAAACGCATGCTTGCGGCGTCAGCGGAGGAAGAACGTCTAGCTCGAACTTCTGGTGGTGGTGGAGCAGGACCTAGTGGAACTCAAGAGGGATGGGGTGACTATATGACAAGACAGCTAAACGAGAGAACGGAGAAACTTAACATTATGGGTGATAATCTGGATAAGGTGCAGGAGAATAGTGCTGGGTGGGCGGATGATGTTAGCAAGTATGTCAACAAACAAAAGAGGAATATGTTGCTGGGAGGAATTACTGGTAAGTGGTTTTAAGGGATGGAGATTGTATGGGCAATAATAGATAGGATGTATGGATGGGCGTTCTTGGGATTTAGCGGATACCTGGTATGGGAATCATACTTCGAGAATGCTTGAAAGACTATGTGTCTATTCAATGTTGCGAGTGTGTGGGTTCCTGGGCGTTAGATTAGTGGGTTAGATTTTGCATCTCAAATGACGTCTCATCATAATAATAGCCATCTCGGTTCAAGATATGACTTCAATGTGTATATCCTTGATCGAAGATTGGAACATAAATCTCTTTCCGCCGTAAAGTTGTAAAAGAAATCAAAACATAGTTTTGGTAGAAAGGGCATTGTCTTGTTTCATGTCAAGCTATAAGTGGTTGCAGGAGATCGAGTGAGCGACCTAAGTAGGATGTTGGACCAACACATACTCAGCCACAGATATGGAGAAAACTGAGAAGGCAAAAGATGGGTTTGAGGACGAAGAGGGGTTATTGTCGGGGTCAATTTCATGGTCGAGGTCTGATGGAGGGTGTATATTTATGTCATGCTTTACCAACAATATAGGGAGGTCCGAAGGAGGGTCTTTGATTTGTGGGGAATGCGGCTAGGAGGTGGCTTGAGTTGAAGTTTTGTTGATTGGGTTTGATTGTACATAGGGATGGAATTGGATGGAATTGGAAATACAGGTAGGATATTGTAGGGAGAGAGTAAGATGAGTAGTTTAGGTTTAGAGAAGGAAGGGGAAGTGAAGATGGTTCATGAAAGAAGGAATCACGTACAGATCTCAATCTCCCGTTTAAAACTTCATCAACATCAATGCTACAAGGACATTCATGAGGTGAGAAACATAGTAGCCCTTATTGTGTGCTACGCGACAGGTTATAGGCCGCTGCAGATATATTTTGCCCAAAATACGGCTACAATAGATGTGGCTATTCAGCACCGTCTAGTTAAAATGTTGGAAGTGTGACCTAAAACAACAACCTCACTTCGTGAATAACAAGCTATAAATACCCCCATTCATCCTCCTCTACAATAACTCCTCACACTACATCCAAATCACCACATTACCAATTACCAATTACTAAGCATCTATTCACAGTATCTAAAAACTTAAATTCATATCTATATCTATACCAACAAACCTCCAAGCATTACATATACACATACGCAGCAACCCTAAACGCAACCCAAACTCTCAAGATGCAAAAATCCAGCTCATCCCGATCCTCCAAGGCAAAGGTCAGCTTCAAAGAAACCACTGATACCATCCCAGCAGCAAAGAAACACGCGGATCCATTTAAGGATGAGCGAGTTAGGGAGGATGGAAAGAAGCGGAGTGCTAGTAGTCCGGAGCGAAGTGGGAGTGCGGAGAAGAGGAGTAATACGAGTGGTTCGAGTGGGACGAGGAAGGTTTTACCTGCTAAGGGGGTTAAGAAGTGAGGGGGGAGGGATGCTTTGATAGTTATTTTCCGAGCGCGGGGGGAGGGGGTTTTGAGTAGGGAGTTGAGCAGGGAGTTGTGTCTGGGATATGGGATATGGAATTTGATAGATAGATAGATAGATTGGTGCGGAGTATGGCGTTACTGTGTTTTATTATTAGCTAGCTGGCTAGCTGGCTGGCTGGATATATCTAGAAATATACTTATCTCGGTTTAAATTGCATGATCTATTGAATAGATATACGTGACAAATTAAATTTGTGATTGGCTAAAGTATCCCCTTTCTACACTCGCCTGCAAGATGTTAGTGTAGTTTCCCTTTAATTTTCCTTTGAGTGAGAATGATGAAATGTGCAGTTGTGCGTGTGCGTGTGCGTGTGCTTTGATATGATATGATATGAGAAGACTCAACTATCTTTGAATATTTCATAGGCATATAAAGCAGAGGTGATTGCAATTAATGATGATGTCGGGGTTGAAACTTTGATGCGCTATCGCTCAGTTGGAGTGGAATGTTGATGATTTCTTGTCCGAGTTGCATAAAGATATTGACATAACATCGTAGAGACTAGAGTATTAATTTCAGAAAAGGTTTCGAGTTCCTTTCGTATAGCGAACAATGAGATAAGATGAATACATTATTGCACCCAGTATGAGTAGGAAAAAACTTCATAAGGACAGACGAAAATGTTCATCATTGTGATGCTATACTAAAAGCATTTGAAAGCTTATGTGATATTCCTATTTAGAGTATCATTATTGGCTTCCTGTATTCATCATATATGTATCTTAATTTTGCTTTCCTCCCAATCATAACCTATCGTAATGCGCTTAATGAACTCTAAAATCAAAACTTTGCATGGGGTATTGAATTAGTGGGCCATAACTTCATCGACTTGATGTGCAACGCCACCGGATTTATCAGCACCTGACTTTTCAACGCCATCCATTTCCATGTCATCGTCTCCGGCAACCTCTTCTTCCTCAACTTCCTCATCAGATTCGCCACTACTCTCCGCCTCGAGATCTTCACTTTCATCACCACTTTCCTCCGCGATGGCGCCTTCAGTTTCCACACCAGCCATCTCTGAATCTTGTTCCATTGCGTCTGGATCGACTGGCCCACCTTCCTCCCCATCAACATCTTCATCTTCTTCCTCTCCAGCTTCTTCAGCACCATATTCTTCTCCATCGGCGACTAAGTCTGCCTCAGGTTGTTCAGGAGGGAATTCAGCAGGAGCAGAAGCATCCGAGTCCCTGTAATTTAGTATTAGCATGCCGTATCACCTGAAGGATGTATAATGACTCACCACTTGATGGCAAATCTAGTGACACGGGGCTTCTCAGCAAGAACATTTCTCTTGACTCGATCAAGAAGTGGCTTGGCAGGTGGATCGGCGTTCAATTCCTCAGAATCATACTCGTTGTTGACATAATAGCCAACTCGAACAAACTCTCTACCATCATAGGCGCAAGTGAGAAGAATGACAGTAACACCGAGAATTTCTGCATCTGGGATTCGCTTGGTATCGGGCGCATCTGCCTGGAAGAGAAATTTGTTTACGCCGACGGGAATGGGACCAACGAGGAGAGAATCGAGTTCTTGATCATGCTCATCACTTCATTCGTTAGTTTTGAAATCGAAGAAGGTAAAATTGAGGAAGCTAGAGACATACGATGTGGCCGAACCAACATAGGTCAATTTCCATTCAAGATCTAGAGGAATAAGTAGATTAGTGATTGGGAGAATGGATGGATGATGGTCAAAGAGGGAAAAGAAGGGAACTCACCCTTTTGTAATGCCTCGAGACACTCGAAGGTGATTTCAAACTCATAAGGATCTCCAAATTTAGCTGGATTGTTGCGAACAGTAACACCGAGAAGTGAGACGACAGACATGTTGAAAGAGAGAGGTTGATTAGTCTCTATAAAGGTTTAAAGGATTTCCAAATTCAGATTCAAAACATGCAGTGCAGTCGCCTTAACCAAAAGATGGCAATCTTATGAAGTTGGTGAATTTGTATTGAAATTGTAAGCAGGGGGAGTGTTTATATTGAGGAAGTGAAGAAAGCCGAGAGCAGAGAGCAGGAGTCGAGGAGAATAGAGTTGATAATAAATTGGTTGATGGGGTAGCATGCATCTATTTAGTTCAAGACGGTAAGAAGTGGCAGAATCAAAACGCGTAGGGATAATTAAAATCGCGTAAACCGCGATTCCACTCAAGAGAATATCCGCTAACCATATTAGTGTTAGCTCACCATGTTCATTTTCTTTTGCCTTGTCAGAGCTCCATCACTTCAACTTTTACTGCTCTTGGACTTGTTAAACTCTACAAGGAACGAAATCCTGTTGTTCTTTTTCATGATTCTTTCAACTCCAGCAATAACAATCAAAAGATCCGCAATAGTTAATTGATTTAGATAAACTCCTTTCTTTGTTGCGCGACGATCCTTTGATTTTGCGCAAGTTTGTTTAGCTTCCCATACAGGTTAGCCTTACCTTTCCCTACCTTTGCCGATGACAACCTTTCCAATACATCATAATCGCATCTGCTAACAAGCTTCAAACAAACTCTAGCCATTTCCACCATTTACCATCTATCATCTCTTCATCATCTTCGCTCGCGCATCTACTTAAATAATCGGAACGGTCTTCAAAATGGCGGAGGAAGATGCAGATATAGCTCTTTTACATCAGTTGCAGGCGGGTCAAGAGGCTACGGCTTGGGAAGATGGAGATAATGCAATCGCAGAGGGTGATCTACCTTCCAATACAGAAGATAACAACGAACATGTCAAGCAAGATTCAGTTCAAGATGCCCAAGTTTCTCGTGCTTTGTCTCCTTCAGGCGCAGCCGCGTTAGCCGCTGGCGACGATTATGATCCTTCCTCCGTTACATCCCTTTCAGCAGTGGTAACTGAACAAGACCGCTCAAGACCAAGCTCTCAAACTTCTGTGCGCAAGCCAAAAACTGTTGGAGGATTTATTGCAGATGATTCTGATGAGGAAAATATCGAATCCCCATCAATTACTACTGGTCATTTGCAACTCCCAGCTTCTGATAACCCCAAACGCTCTCCTTCCCCATTGCAAAACTCTATTACTCAACAGGAAGTACCCATCAAGATGGAGAATCAAGTTGATTCCAAGACGGAAACACTTTCATCTATTCCTGCTTCTGTGAACCCGAGTAGCATGGGAACACCTATAGAACAATCCTCGGTGCAAGTGCCCGTCCCTGTTGGTACATCGCAAAATACATCTATTCCCAGAGCTCGTCTTCCTCATGATAAGATAGGTATGCTTGAAGATCGTGTCAAGGAGGATCCGCGAGGTGATATGGAAGCTTGGCTTTCTTTAATTAGTGAACATCGGAAGCGCAACAAGTTGGATGATGCGAGAGCAGCTTATGAAAGATTTTTGAAGGTCTTTCCCCATGCTGTAAGTCATACACAATCTTCTACCCGTCCTGCACTTACTGATAATGAATCAGGCAGAGATTTGGGTTGCCTACACTGAGATGGAACTCGAATACGAAAACTTTAGTGCAGCAGAACAAATCTTTGGCAAATCACTGTTGACTGTCCCAAACATTCAATTGTGGTCAGTCTATTTGAACTACATACGCCGTATGAACGACCTTAATGTCGATCCTAGTGGTTCTGCTCGTGCAACCGTGTCCCAAGCATACGATTTTGTGTTGGCAAACATTGGTATTGATAGGGACTCTGGAAAAATTTGGCAAGATTATATTCAGTTCATTCGTAGTGCACCTGGTTCAATTGGTGGCAGTAGTTGGCAAGATCAACAAAAGATGGATCAATTGCGAAAAGTCTATCAACGTGCCATCTGTGTGCCTATGTCAAACGTGAATGAATTGTGGAAACAGTATGACCAATTTGAGATGGGCTTGAATAAGATGACGGTGAGTTCGATTTTCAAACTGTGTCATTCAAGGCTAACAGGTCTTATTAGGGCCGGAAATTTCTTCAAGAAAGATCTCCAAATTATATGACTGCAAGAAGTGCCAACACTGCGCTAGAAAATATTACACGTGGCCTTCTGCGTACAACTTTGCCTCGACTTCCACCTGCTTTTGGATTTGAAGGCGACCAAGAATATTTACATCAACTAGAGCTATGGAAGAAGTGGATTTCCTGGGAACAAGAAGACCCATTGGTTCTACAGGCGGATGAGCCAGAAGCTTACAAACAGCGAATCGTATACGTTTACAAACAAGCTATCATGGCATTACGTTTCTGGCCTGAGATTTGGGTAGACGCTGCTGAGTGGTGCTTCAACAACAACTTAGATAAGGAGGGGGATAGCTTCCTTGCTGATGGAATTGTCGCGAACCCCGAGAGCTGTCTATTAGCGTTCAAGAAGGCCGATCGACTTGAATCTACACTCGCTACCGAAGAAGCCGGAAAGAGCGACATTGAGAAAGGGGCAATTGTTCGGGCGCCTTACACTAAGCTTCTGGACTCTCTGTATGAACTTATCGGTGATTTGAAAGTCAGAGAGACGAAAGAAAAAGCTAAACTGGAAGAGAACTCCGCCATTGATGCCTCCATCAGTGCAATTGTGAGAAAGGCAGAGGATGATGATGATGACAGTGACCCAGAAAAGGATGCCCGAGAAATTGCTAAAGCTACTCAGTTGAATGCTATCACACAAGGATATGAAATGCAGAGAAAACTTTTGCAGCGTACTGTGTCTTTCTCCTGGATCGCACTAATGAGGGCCATGCGACGCATTCAAGGAAATGGTTCAATTGAAGCAAAGACAGGATCAAGATTCATTTTCGCCGAGGCCCGTCAACGCGGTATGATCACAAGTGAAGTTTATGTTGCCAGCGCCTTAATTGAACACATGGTGTACAAGGACAAATCTGGTACAAAGATATTTGAAAGGGGTGCTAAACTTTTCCCAAATGATGAAGCCTATCTTCTGGAGTATTTGAAGCATTTGATTTCCATTTCCGACATCACCAGTAAGTTTCTTCTCGCATTCTACATCATTTATGATTCTAACTTTAAAATAGATGCCCGGGTTGCTTTTGAGACAGCAGTCAGTCGTCTAGCACAGAAACCAGAAACTGTTTACAAGACAAAACCACTTTACGTTTACTTCCACAGTTACGAATCCCAATTTGGAACTTTAGATCAAATCAAGAAGCTAGAAAAGCGAATGGCGGAACTCTTCCCAGATGATCCGAAGCTTCTCAGGTTTTCCTCGCGTTATAGTGTGGATGGGTTCGACCCTACTGCTGTACGACCCATCATTTCGCCTACTTCACAGATGAGACCCAAATTGGTTATGCAATCCATTGAACAAGCTCCCTCCATTCCAGACAGCCCGCGACCTCAATATGTACAAGAGCAAAGCCCGCGGCCGCAGGCACCACCACAGTTTGTGCAGAACCAAAACACGAACTCACCAAAGCGACCTTACCCAACCGAAGACTTTGAGAGCGAGCTCAACCCTCCACGAAAGCTAGCTCGTGGTCAGTCTCCACTAAAGGGAGCTGCAGGACGCAGATTGGCTCAACAAAAGGGAATTCAGCAGACGCAAGGCACTCCTGCATGGCAATCAAACACGGCACCATACGTAATCCCGCGGGATATTACATTTTTACTCAGCATTATCCCTCGTTCTGATATCTACCTTCGCGACCCACAAATGAAAGACATAAAATTCATTCCAAATGATTTAGTGCGACTCCTTGCCAGAACCGAGGTTCCGGATTACGTGCAGTGGAAAAATGCGAAGGAACAACTTCAACAACCTCAACAACGCTATGACGGTATGAAACCCAGTTACCAAGCTCCTAATACTCGTGAATCTTATGGCTATGGTGGACAAACTACTGGAAATAGTGGATATTCCGCAGAGCCGCGTCACCTGTCGCAATCTGGTTATCTTCCTGTTGATGATCGAGTTTCAAGCGTAATTCAGGGTCATGATTACACCAGATCTCCTGTCACATCTCAAGATAACCAATGGGGAGGTGGATACGGTCAGGCGCCTTCTCATACCCGCAATGCGAGTTTCGAGAGTAGAGGATGGCAAGGGCAGCAACAACAGCCCGGACCATATACGCAAACCCCATATCATGGGAATGGAAATGCCAATGGTGGATATTATCATTGAAGCTAACTTTTGCATCTTTTACAGGATATTCCTATCGCTGATGATATCTTTTTTCCAGCGACCATGATACCATCATCCATTTCGGGAAAATGAAACTTTCCTTTTCTTTATCAAACATACTGAATCTAGGCTCACGGTGTACATTTAAACAAACTTTCTTCTTCAGCCTGCTCCACGTATCTTTGAGTTTCTCCAGACTGACGTTAATTGTTGTTGATCCATCGGAGGCGGCGGGCTATCTCTGGTTCTGCATATCCTTTTGCGTTAAGAGATTCTAGGCCGCACGCGTTGCTATTCGTTTGGTGGAGGGGTGATCATAAGGGAATTCCACACTATGCACAAGGATATGCAGGCTTCTTTTTCAAAAAGTGGCGTTTGGGGGGGACAACCGCAAGCTCTGATACATGATGCCAGCCAGTTGGCCCTGAATGTATATTAAATAAGTTTGAGGCAATAATTAATGAATGCAAATAATGATGATTTATCATACCTAGATTATCTTTCCTGTGCATTTCCGCCGAGATGATTTGTTGGGCCTGATTGAGGGGTAATTGATGAATGAGGTTACACTGCATGCACGTACGTACTATGGAGGGCCTTTTGAAAGAAGTCTGACTTGCAGTAAGTAAGCTCAAGTTTGATATATGTGTTTTTGGTTCGAGTAGATCATCACTTCTCTCTTTTTCCATTTGAGCTTGGGAAAGAGGTTAGAGGTAGAATTGACAGTAATCATTTCTGTTTGCTCATCACCATAAGTAAGCCTTCTTCTTTTACTACGATTCCTTGTACCGTTGAATGTCCAAGCTCTCTTTTTGTATGTATTGTTCATGTCTGAAGAGTGTGGATATTGATGTTCGATCATCTTACGTTGATGAGCCACAGCGCTATCCAAGGTTTGGATTGACGGCTACACCTCATACCTGCAGGAAGATTTAACTACTACCTTGGATCTGTATCACGGGTAGTTGCATGCGCCAAGGCAAACTCAAACGCACTCTTAACGACGAACCGAACTGATTGATGCCATAAATTTTCATATACGTAATTTGTAAGTGACGGTGAAGTTACAATTTGCATCACAGAGACGGCGCTTATGGATGGCTTAGAGGGCGAATAGTAATTCACTTTAACATCGAATCCACCAAATGAATCATAGGTATACATAGGTCAAGGATCTCATTTTTTCTCACTTCATAGTCCAATAGGTACCTACCTACCTGCCTAGTAAGCAAAGAACCTTTTTCCTCACATTTCCTCCCTCGGTCTATCGAATTCACTTTCCAAAAGCCCCTTCCTCCAATAACCAAAGAGGAAGGAAATCCCGCCTATTCGCTGATTTGAACACTAGCGCCAAACCCTTTCGTTTATTGTCGTTGCTGTCGCTACCTCTTTTCTTCGTCTCTTCCTCTCTTCCTCTCCTCCACTTTTCTTCTTACAACCTTTCGTATTTACAATATCAATTTCTTCTTTTCAATCATAATTCATATCAATCTTCATAGCGAAGTACAAGTGAGTAATTCTTCTCTATACACAATATACTTGATCATTTTCCCTATTCCAATTTGACTTGACAAACTTGGCTTTCAGGTGAAGTCGCGTTTGTTTGCTCTCCTTGTTGCTGTGGTTGCTTGCTTAGCCACCCAGTTTCTTCAAACTTCAAACAGACATACTCCTCCACTACAACAATATTTACCTTATCCTACATTGTTGTTGATCTAAACTATTAACTCCTTGCTAATTCAATTATCTTCTTACAGCCTTGCTACCAAAATCTCTGGTTATTTTCTGCAGACTATCACAGACGGATAGCAATGACAGTTCTTTAGAGGTGATCAACTCTTGGTAAGTCGAACAAACACAACCTCTTCTCATCATCATGCCTAGTATTTGCTTCACATCTTCTGCTCCTTGTTACTATCATCATGATCTATCATTATTTTCATACTGGTGTTATCACCGCCATCTATCATCATCATGTTTCCATCACGATCTGAGTTCTTTGATGTCGTCTCTCTCTAGATCATCAAAAATGCATGGCTCAAGATCCTTCTGGCATGAATAACGCTAACATAATGTTTTCAAACTGCAGACACCACCATTACCGTCATCATGGGTGTTGGTCAACAACGCCGCGCTAACCAGGGGCCACCTTCATCGGCTGGTAACTCTGGTCAACAGCAGCAGCATCCTTCGGCGCCGCCATCAGTTGCCGGTGGACCACCAGAATCATCATCAGGTCGCCCAGTTTCTGCCAACATGGACGGACCAGGTGAAACACGCAAAAACCCTTTTGGTCCAGGCCTTGGTTTTGATCCCGCCAGAGATCAGAAGGAGGAGCCCAGAAAGTTTAATACCCGTGTTGAGCTTCCAGTTTATCGTGATAGTGTGAGTAATACTCTTATTTGTTGATATGTGTGGTATTTGGCCATGGTTTTTTCACAACGGGTTTGGGCGCATTGGGCTTCAAGGAATTGTGGCACACTGCATGATGGAAATATACCTCACCATTGGCGATGATTTATTGGGCCACTTCAACTTTCTAGTTTTCGGTGCCCATAATCTCACTGTTCCTCAAGATCTATGATCAACAAGGTTTA